TAGACCAAGTAAACACCTCTCCCGAAAAACCAAGGTCCACTAATCCATTGACATCCATGAAACTTTTTAACGGAACTACATTGTCATTTCTAAGGGGGCAACGCCCCTGCTTTTCAAACGGAAGAAGAGCCACGTTCAGATCCCCTACAATGAGCCAAGACTCGTCTTGAGTCGCCCTCAGGATCGTAAGTCGATCCCACAAAAGCCTTCTCTCTGCCGCCGTGGCAGGAGCATGGACAAGAGAACAAAAGAACTCCACACCATTCTGACTAACCCTAATGTCCATAAAGGACTTACATCTATCCAACACACAAACTTCAACATCGTCATTCCACCACAACGCTAAGCCACTCCCTTCACTAGCTGGATTCACATACTCTCCATGATCGAACCTCATCCCCCTCCTTTTTCCTTCCATGAACGCTTCGTCTTTCTTCGTCATGAGGAAGAGGATTGAGGGGCCAAATTGTCGGCACAGCCTGCCGCAGTAGCTTCTTGTAAGGGACTGGCCGAATCCCCTACAATTCCAGCTCAAGATTCTCATTCGTTGACAGGCGGCTTGAGGCTTGCCGCCGGCGCCCTCGGGGTGGAAGATTCCCCTTCCCCGGACTGACTCCCATCTGCTGTGATATCTGCTAAGCTTTTCCTTCTAATAATGTTTCTCCTCCGCTGGTAGGTCTTTCTGCTTTCTCCTGGGACAAAAGAAAGAGAATCAAAAGAAAGGTTAGTTGTCTGCTCCTGTGTGAACCAACTTAGATATGGTACAAGGCAATTAAAGATTCCACACGGACACGGTTATGCTAGTTTGGCAAGTGCTCTGGTTCGATTATGATCCAACTGAATAATACCAATTGATATCCGTTTTAACAAAATATGTAGGAAACTCTTTCAATGGGTAATAGGAGGTTTTTTCAATCCATGATGAAGGACTTGACATCAGTGATTCATGATCAGAGGGCCTACTTATCCGAGACTGAGATAATATTCTATCTTTGGAATTCGCCGTGGCATCGGATCAAGAGGAGGCCTTTCGGCGCCAACATTCTCAGGTTCAATGGATGCATGAAGGAGAATACTGTGTACTTCCATTGTGTAACCCAAACCCATCGGGTGCGTAATTTCATCGCTTTCACTCTGTGCACCTGACCTGATGGGCAAATTCATTATGAGGAGGCCCTAACGTGTGAGGTGGTTGTGGCTCATTTCTCGACCTTATTCACATCCGGGCTATAATCGGAAAACATTTTCCACGTTGTGGATAACTTACCACTTAATGTTGTGGGGGGGACGACACAATGAATGCAACATTGCTTGCATATTTTCATTGGCTGACATTATGCTTGCATTATTTCAAATAAGACCATCCAAGCTCCCGGCTTCGACGAATTTACTGGTCTTTTTTCTTCCAACATTTTTGGGATATTGTGGGCCCTAATGTTTGTCTGGCAGTCCAATCTTTCTTTCGTACATGTCATTTTTTACGATCTTATGCGTGGTTAACTCTCATCCCAAAAGTAATAAATGTTAAAACTTGCGCTCGTCTCCGCCCGATTGGTCTCTGCCAAGTTTCTTACAAAATTATTTTCCAAATTGCTGGCTAATCTCCTTGGTAAAATCCTCCCTCGATCATTTCAACTTATCATAATTGCTTCTTCAAGGAATGTTCAATTATCGACAATGTCATCTTCGTCCAAGAAGTAATGGCATATCTTCAAAATAAGCGGGATGGCCGTGAGCATTTTATGTCATTAGAATTTGATATGTAAAAGGCATGTGACAGAATAGAATGGTCTTATCCTTTTCGGGTCATGGACAAACTTGGTTTTGATTCTCACTGGACTGATCTTTTATCCAATTGTTTCCCCTCTACTTCTATATATGTCATGTTGGATGGAAGCTCTAATAGTTATTTTAGACCCACACAAAGTGGCGCGCTCTCCCTTTACTCTTTGCTAATTGTACAAAAGGCTTCTCGGCTTTATTGTCCCAAGCGGTCACTTTGGGAGAGCTTATAGAAGTTCAATTTAATCATATTGTCTCATTCTATCACACATGTTTTTTTGCCGATGATGTTTTCCTTTTTTTACGCCCTCAAAATATGGACTGTCAAATTCTCTTACATCTCTTGAATCGTTATCAACGAATGAGTGGTGAAAGGGTAAACTTACCTAAATCAGCAGTGGTTTTCTCTAACAAGTACTTAGCCTTCCTTCCCTCATTCAATGGTTACAAACGGGAAACTTTCGGTCTATTGAAGAGGTAGCAAAGCGCCTACAAGGTTGGAAACATCAATGTCTTTTCTTGGCGGGTTTTGAAACTCTTATAACAGTTGCCTTAGCTCTCCTATAGTATGTTATGTCCTGTTATTTTTCTTTCCAAAGAACTTTGATGTAATCTCAACCGAATGATTGCATGCTTTTGACGGGCCAACAGGGTAATGAACGTCATTTACCATGGGTTTCTTGCTGCCACTTTATGTCGACCCAAATCAAAGGGCGGACTGAGCTTCAAAGATTTTGGCACATTCAATCAAACTCTATTGGCCAAAATATACCGGCGTATTCAATATGATCCAGGCTCACTAATTTCTCAAGTTCTCAAGGGTCAGTACTTCCCTCATACTTCTTTCTTTTCTGCGCTAAGGGGCTCCAATGCCTCGCGAGGGAAATTTACTCCAACAAGGATTATATTGGAAAGTAGGTGCAAGCACTAGAATAGACGCTAAGGATAATCTATGGATTCCCATATTTACCTATGTTTTCTTTCCACCCGCCTCCCTACGACTCAGATGTTCCAACAATTTGTTTCGTACTTTATTTCTCCCACAATTCCTAGCGGAATTCTTCTCGCCTGCGAGATTTCTGTAACTGCCATTTTAGTTATTCACATGCCCAATACCCATTGTTTTGATTGGTATATCTAGCATTATGACTCACAAGGTACCAACGCATCGTTCACAGATCTAGTCTGACTCAGTTTCAACCCTTGATCCATATCTCTGCCCTAATTTTTTTTCACTCTCTCTAGTTCCAAAACTATTTTCTATGGCTTATTCTGTTGAGGATCTTTATGGTGTGTGAAGACCTACAAAACATGGGCTCCATGTGGAAAACACATGTTTTATATGTGATTCGGAAGAAGAAGAATCATTGCAACAACTTTTCTTACGTTGTAGGATTGCAGTCTCCTTGCGTCAGATCATTGGTCCACAATATCTCGATGGGTTCGCCTTTGAATTTCACATTTCACTTCTTTGGTGACATTTAGTCCTAAATTCACATCCTACTAGGGCTGGTAATCGGGTATCCGGTTAACGATTTAACCGGTTACCGAACTGATAACCAATGATTACCGTTAACCGGCGATATCGGTATACAGTGGATAAATTTCAGATGCAGGTATACCGGCCCATGCACGGTTAAAACCCGACGGTTATCGGTAATACCGAGTATACCGATACACCCTCCCCACTTTGCCCAACCCTCTCTTTCTCTCACCCCGTTAGTAACCCCCAATTCTCTCCATCTCTGTCCATCTCTCCGGAGTAGGATACTATGTCTACCCTTAAAAGGGTTGGATTTTTGACACCCCTTTCTCAATTGGTCAATTTTTTCATTAATCATTCACAAGTATTAATGAAGTTAGACATAATAAATGTTCTGTTATTAAATACAAAGTCAGCAATAATTACTTGTTTTTAAAAAAAATCTAAACATATACAAAATACGATTCTCTCTCTCATCTTTGATCTTTCTCACTCCTATCTTTGATTCTTCCTTTCCCAGCAGCCTCCGACCACCACACTTCGCCAGTAAAATCCCGCCGGTATACTCTCTCCGGTCACCTGCGCAAATATACTATTGCACTTATATGCTGTACCATTGTACTGGTATTTGTACCATTGCATTGATACTCAGATATGACATTGGTACCAGTGCACTGATATCGCTACCAGTGCAGTGATACAACATATTAGTGCAGTGGTATATTTTTTATAGGTGGTCGGAGGGAGTCTGTCGATGAGATTTTCACAATGTGTATTTAATGTGTGTATACCTCAGGAGTGTCATTTTTCCAACCCCTCATGCTAACCGACCCCATCTCTCCCGATTCCCTGTGAATTCCATAAACAAAACCCCAATTCTCTCCATCTCTGTCGATTCCCTTTGGATTCCATAAACAAAATCCCACTGTGAGATTTGCGTTGCTCAGCCACAGCCCTTCTCCACTCCTCAGTCGCCGTCAACTTTATAGAGAACCCTATAAAGCTATTTCTGATTCCGGAGCCTGCCCCATCCAATCAGCATCGCGCGGCGGCTCTACCTCCTCCTCGATTCCAGATCCGGCGACATACAATCTCCCTCCCACGGCGGCTTGTATGGATGACGATAGAGAGACAAAAGGCTCGGAAGAAGGAAGGAAGACAATGCTTGCCAGTCAATGTACCTTCAAACCAAAATACCCAGAGACACAATGAGGATGTCACATGCCCTATTAAGGGCATCCTAGTACACTTTGATCGGGCTATAAAGACCAACCAAGGAAGTTTCACATGTTTCATAGGCATATCAAGTGATGGATTAATATTATTTGCTTTCATTAAATTCTGTGATCGTATCTCAAATGACTTTGTTGGAGAGTTACTCGCTTTACGAGATGATTGAAATTGTGTTTCATACATAATTTTTTGGTTGTTACATTTTGTGACGACCCACAGTTGGCCACCATACATGTTATGTCCAAGGAAGCATCTCACTCCATATGCAGGGCTATCTTGTAGGAAATCCGTCTTCTTTTTTCATCATTTGAGTCCGCAGCGTCTCATTTTTCTTCTCAAAAGTTTAATATAGTTTTCATGTTGTGCCAAAACTACCACTTTCATTGATAGTTCGATTGCTTATCGTGCTGTCACGTGTGGTCGGAGTCAATCTAGTGATTTGATTTGCTTGATTACTAGCAGATCTTGGGGGAAAACAACTCGAGTATACTAATTATTATATCATGGGTTTAATGTATTTGTCAAGTTCATTGATTAATCAACAATTCTTTAAGACTTTGGAATATGGATATAGTTCAATTTCAATAAATCTATTGGGAATCCGATTTTGTAATTGTTACCCGAAATGAAACTCAATGTGATATGTTACGGTGCCACCAAAGCAACACTGGTCAGTTCATTACAAAAGAACACACCCAAACCCAAGAAGCCATAGACCAAAACACACTCATGCACCAATCTCCACTTGGTTTCTACTGAACAAGTACAAGGACCAATTGCACAAAATACATGAGAAAGTCAGAGAATTCAGCCACTGCAGGTTTCGCTTCTCTTCGCGCAAGGGTCTGCCTGCCAACCTGGTTGGTTCTCAAGCACTCAACAAATGTTTTGAACTCTTACGTTCTTGCTTCTTCTTGTCGCTCAAGGAGTCGAATTGCCACCTTTCTCGCGATTAATGGAAGCTGACAGGATCGCAAGATCGTGATTCAAGAATGTCAATGCCGACTCGCACTCTGATATGATGTTTGTGACTGAAGACGGTTCACCCGCCACAGTTTCTGACGAACCAACAGCGAGTGCTGCGTATGAATCCCTCAGGTTCCTCAGGTTGCCCAGGAACTGCCAACACATAATAATGTGTGAAGTTTGAGTAGTGTAAAATTCTATTTGTCCGAACAGACTAGAGGAGGCTTCCCAAATCAACCAAAATTGCCACCAACCAGGTAGGGGTGGGAATCCGCTTTTGGGGTTTTCTGATTAACCTGGATTCCAACCTTTTCATGGTCGCAGTTTCACCTCCCACCCCCATAAGCCGGTTTTGGTTGACTGCCAATCAGGTTTGCTTAACAGAAATCAATGGATGGCAAGGGCCAGTTCATGATATTACCTTCAGAAGCATCTTGTATGCCTCCAACAACCGGTTAGCAGCTGGCCCAAATCCATGGAGCTGAGGCACTTCCATCATATGTGTCCATGGGCGAATCTCCTACAGAAAACAGAATCATAACTAGAAGATCACCCAAAGATATTTTATGTAGAAGAGTGATGTAACATTGTCTCTCGCAGTAAATCCAGACCTTTGTATAGATCGTGTTGAATGATCTTGCAGTTTCTAAGAAGGACTCTAAGTGCTGCCGAAGTTGGGATTCCACCTGTGTATACTCTTCACCTGGATTGTAAGCATGCTAAAGGAGAACAATACCGTTTGTAAACAAGTCTTCAAGGATGTGAGGGATAAAATGAATGAAGTTGCGAGTGAATAAATCAGAGAAAATAGAGTTATCAACTACCGGAAGAAATGTAGGAAAACAAAAGTTCCATTCACCAAAATTAATGTTATAATAAATGTATCAATAACCAGAATAACCCTCCCCCCCAGCTCTCCAGAGAAGCTGATTAAGAGTTTGAAAGCTGACGGGAGCGCATAGTTCAATTAAGATAATTCCAGATGGCCCAACACATCTTGGGATGCTTAATGATCTTGCATCTTAAAGATAGACTGTATGGAAAAGATACCGAGGAGCTGAGATTAACCTTTGATGCCAAATCATCAACTTTCTGTTGAAGATTTAGGAGAATTTTTGATTGCTCCGAAAGCTTACTCTCCAGCTCTGATACATCAGGCCTGCACATGTACTTTCAAAAGATGAAGCTAATGTTACCGCATCTCATGAAATGGAAGCAGTTCATTACTCAACTAATTTATGCAAAAATGATTATCTCAATGGGATTCGAGCGTAAATCATGAAACAGTATTGCAATAGATGTTAGGGTCCTACAAGGAACGGCTGAATGCTTCTACATCTATGGAAGTCTTTAAGCATATAGCCAGAAATCAAAATTTGTTCATGGTTTTGAACATAAAAAAGTGCAAGACTGGCAAGATTCTCCAGAGACTTGAAAATTAATAAGATATATTTGAAGTGCCTTACTATGGTTTCAAGATGAGGTATCGTGTGATGCAGATAGCTGGATACAACAGAAAATGGAACAGAGAAAGCTATGCGTACAGTGGATATATGGATTGAATCTGGACATCTGCAGGGAACAACTTGCACTCCTCTGAGAATATGAGAGCTTGTTTCTCCGCAATGGAATCTATTAGTTGTATATCCTTTGCTACCTGTTCATCAATGCTGCATAGCCATGAAAGTCAGGTTACAGAGGGAAACATAACAAGATAAATAAAAGCAACTAATGCATATTTCAAGAGGATGGATGCGATGAAGAAAAGAAATAAACTTTACCTCCACTCTGGATTATCAGCATAAATGCTAGCCTCAACAAGATCCACTATTAGACGTAGCATTTCAGTTCGATCTTCATAGCTTCCTCGTCCCTGAAAGAATTCACCTCAAACTGCTGTTATTTAAGGAAAGGGCCAACCTTAAGTATACCCATGATAAGTTGATTCTAGGTACAGTATATTTCGCAAGTTGCAACAGATGCATACATATACATTGCATCTATTCTGCAACTTACTTGGATGGTTTCAGTATCTATAGTTGGCATGATTCCCAGGAACTTGGCTATCTCTGCCAGATCTGTGTACAATGGGTAAATAACTCACTGATTACTACCACTCAAAATTATTCCAAGGAAACAAAGTCTAGAATTGACACAGAAATCCAGAGAGAAGAAAATAGAAGGCATTGATGGGCAATTTTAAAAACCACAGAATACAAGAAACAAAATTCAATGACGATACAGCTTCTCAGGAAGCATGAGCAGTCACTGTTTATTCTCTGTGACCCACGTATCCGAGAAATTATAAACGAAATGATTTCTGAGCAAGCCGCTCGATAGTGTACAGAATAAATTAGTAGTTAAATGTGAATTGTGCTTAGGAATGTGAAGAACCCCTAACATTCTCCACCTTTGAAGGTTGGACATGAGCATGATGCTGAGAAAGTAGGCAAAGCAAAAGTGGAGCCGGAAGAACAATACTAACACTGTATTCTAGAAGTTTCTTCATCCCGATCCATGGCATCCCCTTGGAGATTTTGTTGAGAGAACGGTGATTTGTCACCCAACAATCTGCACATCCAAAGTATCCCAACTTCATTGTTAATCGGCACTACCAAGTCATCTATGAAAGCTCTGACTGAAAACCAAAATGTGATCCTTTCTAGTGGCTCTCTCTGTAATTGAAAAATCAACAATGAAACAAACTACAAAACTTCAAATTTGATTTGGATGTCCAACAATGCAGGAGGAACAAACAGGCCTGGGAGCCAAAGCTTTTCACAGTTGATCATCCTTGTTGTACACCCACGATTCACTTGAGTTAGCACTATCAGAAAACCAAATTCTCAAATCTAAGGCCTTCTAGGAGCAAAACAAGAGAGAGATTGAAGATTGACAAGTCCTTTTCTGAAATCATAGCTTCGTCAAAGGTTCGAACTTGAATGGATAAACTAACACGGAATTGGGGGAATTGAAGTCCGATCCCAGTACATTATCAAACAGATAGTGAAGTGATTGAGGTTGGGAGAAAGATACTTGAAGAAAAGCCATTCGAGGAGAGCATAGCGCTCCATGCCCGCGAAGAGGAGAGACTGAGCAGGAGCGTCGGCTCGCGGATAATTGAGAACGGCTAGCTTCTTCTGTATCTCTTCCATTTGCTTCGACGCCATTCTTGCTCTCCCCGGGAATCAAAATCACACCAGTTTTTGACCGTTGTGACGGTTGGTATAGGAGCTCGGCTTCTTGAATCTATAGATCGCTGAGAAGTCAGAGCACTGAACAGTTCTGGATCTTTTCAGTGCGCCGGCGTTTCCCTCCCTCCCCACCTAATTCTTCTCCATCGGCTTTTTTTCCCCCTTTGGAAAAGTACAATTCAGCACACAAATATTTCAACATTTATCAATTGAGACCCTTTACTTTCACTTGATTTGATAAGTTTAAGTTGTGATAGAAAAAAAAGTCTCCACTCATGGGTTTATCTTTGAAAAAAACCCAGGGTAAAACCCACTGGGTTTGAAAAACTCAAACCCAACCCGTTGGATATCCGCGGGTACATGGTACCCACGAGTTTTGTTGTAAAAAATTTACAATTACAAGTTCTTATCAAAATTAAAGTCAAATATCAATCTCTCAATACAAATTATCCATATATAAAACACCATTCTAGAAAATTCAAGCAAATCACAAATTAACTATACAAATTGTTCAACACCAATCTAGAAAACTCAAAAAAATTGAAGCAAATCACAAATTTTCCATAAATAACATGTTTAATTGAAAGTTTCTTCCTTTCAATTAAGTTTCTTTACTCTCCACTCCATAACATCAACTTCATTCTACACAATTAAAAAGAAAAAATTAGACATGTCTCCACAAACATAAATAAGATTAGTTGTTTAGAATATTAAATATATCGAAAAAATTAATTATATGGGTGAGCGGGTACCCAGGGGCCGGGTTTACCTAAACCCAAACCCAACCCAACCCGTTGAATAGTGAACGGGTTTAAACCCAAACCCGGCCCAAAATCCGTCAACACGGATTTTACCCGCGTTGACCGGGTTGGGTCGGGTGGGTACCCGTGGGTTCGGGTTTTGTTGCCATCCCTACTTTTACGGGTAATTAGCATAAATGGTAACAAACCTTTGCACTTAGTACAAAATGGTCACAAACCTTTAATTTGTAACAATACGGTAACAAAACTTTGAAATTGTATAAAATGGTCACCGCTATTTAATTTATCACCGTTTTGTTTTAAGTGCAAAGGTTTGTTACCGAATCGTTACAAATTAAATATTTGTCATGTTTTGAAGTCGGGTAGTTTGTTCGTTAAGTATATGACACTAACCACTTGAACGACATATAACTATAAGATGTCAGGTCATGTGTTCATCGACATATTTGCTTTGCCGAATAAGAATGCCCTTAGTTGACCTTTCAATTTCGATACCAAGAAAGTAAGAAATTAGACATAGTTTTTTCAACTAAAAACCAGTCTGGAACCCGTTTGTGAGCCATTGAATTCTCTCATTGTCAACCTAAACAACATAATATCATTCACATACATTAACAAAACCACCATACAACTAGAGTGAATTGTAACGATGATTGAGCCTTTAAACTTTTGAACTTAATTTGTACAAAACGGTCACCAAAAGTCTAATTTGCAACGACACGGTAACAAAAGTTTGAACTGGTATGAAATGGTCACACTGTTTAATTTGTGACCGTTTTGTTCTAAGCAAAAAGTTTTGTTATCAAATGGTTACAAATTAAAGGTTTGTAACCGTTTTGTACTAAGCGCAAAGGTTTGTGACCATTTATGCTAATTACCCCTACTTTTACTTTCGTTTCTTCCCATTCTCCTTTCTTGTCCTCCTAGCTTTCTTTTCAACCACAGTCATACAGTTGCAAAGGAATTATAGTCTCGCGATTCGCCGGCGGTCTCCAGCTCGCTCCATCACAAATCGCACCAATTCCCCTCGCCGTTGTTCCTCTGCATCTCTAATCAATTCTGGAATTGGATCACATGGAGTTCTCTGAGCGAATCGGGTAAAGAAAGAGGAATCGACAAAAGAATTGGGGAAATGGCGGAACCAAACAAAGATATTCCTGTGACTGAAGTGTTTTGGGCGCTGGTTGAAAAAGCTGATAAGAAGTTCTCCAAGATCAGAGACTTGCCTTACCACGAGCGCAGCAGGTATTCTCCTTTCTCGTTTCTTCCCCGTTCCCTCGTTTCGTTATGCCAGCTTCCCCCAATTGTGCTTGTGTTCTGTGATGAGAGGAAATTTTCGAATTGTTCGTCGAGCTTGAGGTTTTCTCCGTAATTCAAATTGGCTCTCCAAAAACTTGCGGTGAATATGGTTTTGCTTAGGCCAATCCGTACAGCGGTCAAGTAGTTGATAATTAATGATATTCAGAGGTGTTGTACTGATTTTTGAACTGGTTGAGCTGCGTGTTACTAGTATTTAGTAGAATAGCTACTAACAGTTGACGCTGGTCCTGTTTGTAGGTATGAATACTTCTTCAAGGTATTCAAGGTGTACACACAGTTGTGGAAGTTTCAGCAAGAGAATCGGCAGAAGTTGGTAGAATCTGGTCTCAAGAGATGGGAGATTGGCGAGATTGCATCTCGCATCGCTCAGCTCTATTATGGACAGTATATGCGGACGAGTGATGCAAGTTACTTGACCGAATCGTATGTATTCTATGATGCAATACTTACGAGGGAGTATTTCAAGGAAGGCTTGTTGCAGGATCTCAATCTTGCGAACAAGCAGCTGAGGTTTCTTGCTAGGTTTCTGATGGTGTGTTTGGTGCTTAACCGTCGAGATGTCGTTCATCAGCTGGTTAATCAGCTCAAAGTTTTAGTTGATGAGTGCCGAAGGACATATCAGGTCTTTACTCTTTCTTATCTTCTTTCTGAACATCCGTTTGATTTGTTCTTATATATCTGTTTGCTGATTGTTGATTATGGTTCCTATGTATCTGTGTTTGGTGCCGTATAATTTGTTTACTTATCCTGCTGTTCTTACCTGGCAAGGTACAGACATGGGAAATAGGAGAGGAAAAAATCTTGAATGCACATTAGAAGATGTATTAGTTACTGAGTTTAACTTGGGTGATTGGTTAGGGAAAAGAGCTTTTGGTTCACACGCACTTATATAGGGTTCATTTTTTTTAGGCCAGTACAAGCATCTTGCTCTCGTTCAATGCTGATAGCTCACTAATAAGATATACATGCAGAATAATAACATTTTTAATTCTTCTCAAGTTTATGGTCATATTGCCCTTTGATTTCTGTTTTTGTTTTTCATTACATTGAATTACTTTTGTATAACTGTGGTTTGATTCAGTACTGGGTAATGACAATTAAATGATGCATGAATTATCTTGTTTCCAGGAAACTGACTTTAAAGAATGGAAGCTGGTGGTTCAGGAAATAATTAGATTTTTGAAAGCTGACACAACATTTATGAATATCAGGCCATTGAGGTACAGCCTTGTGCTGGACCCTAATCCAGATTCACTACCATGTGCTAAGACAAAGAGACACTTGAGATTACGAGATGCAGTTCTGAGCAGCTACCATCATAATGAGGTTACGTAATAAGGTTTCCGTTCGCCACTGTCTTTTACTGTAAATTGAACTAGAGAATCTGCCCTCTGCTTATGGAGTTCTCTTTTATTTTCTATACTGTAATGACATATATTCATAAATAAAATGACCAGGTCAAGTTTTCCGAGCTTACTCTGGACACGTTTAGGATGCTTCAGTGCCTGGAGTGGGAACCAAGTGGTGCATTTTACAAAACACATAACCCTAAACTTGGCCAAAATGGAGTTCCAGGCCCTAGTCGAGTTAACTATGCCCAGGATATATCTGATCCTACTTTACCTCCCAACCCACGGAAAGTTGTGCTATATCGTCCTTCCATGACTCATTTGTTAGCAGTAAGTGTGACTTACTATCTTGATATTTGATTTTATTACCTGGTTGGACTTGTTGAATCATTTCCCAGTCCATAAGTATGCATTTATTAACTGTATTGTTTACACAGTGGTTTTTGGTGATTATTTATAAGTTTAATTTCTTGATATGTATTGATATAGGTATGGAAGTTGTGCATGTATGCTTGTGTATGAACTGGAACTACATTCTTACCTAGCTTTGCTGATCATAAATCTTCATGTTTGGCATTTATGTACTTGTGTTAAGATTTTGGGTTTTGGTGGTCATCTGAAAGATATTACACACTTAATGTTGCTCCTTGCCGCTGTCCTAAACTAAGACATGTGGGCATTATATTTCTTTCGGGGATCTTAAAGTTTGACAAAAATATTGACCTAAAGTATAGATAATTCTATGAACCTTAGCTTCAAATCTAAGGCTTAACCTTCCACTATCAAAATTTAAAAATTCGTCATCCGAAGTTCATTCCGAAATGAGTAGCCTATTGGCGAGGTTCAAGTGATTAATGTAAGGTGGATTCCCTAGCGAGGCTTTTGCCTTATGTCTCTCAATTTATGTATAGTCTCGTTATATCTGCACAGGTTCTTGGTACTCTATGCGAGGAGCTAAACCCTGATGGAGTTCTTCTAATCTATTTGTCAGCTTCAGGTATCTTATTTAAATTATTTTGGTGGTGAAGAGACCTTTCCATTCATGTCCATGTCTACAGTACACTACATGGCTGGTTTACCTCTTTTATCTCTTACATGTCCAGGAAGAATCGGAAATACCATTTCATCTACTACAGAATCTCGAGCTTCTATAAACAGTGTAGGAAGCTTGGGAAAGAGCTTGCAATCTCACGGCATAGATTCAGATGCCGCATCTGTGTCGTCTTCAGACTGCCTGAATAATAATGCTAGTCCAACTTCTAGGAGGAGTAAAAAGGATTGTTTGAATTTTGGTACTCATACTAATGGAGGTATCTTCCGTGCTCTCTGATTCTTCGAGCTAGCTAGTCTGGATTCTTGTCCCCTTCAATTTGACTAGTTTGTTCTTGTTCATAGTACACATTTTCTTACATTTTCTTATGGTCGATTATAGGCGTAAGCATGTGATCTGTGGTTGATGGGTGACGGATATACAGATATGCTACTTTTATGTATTTTTCTTCTTTTTTGTTTGGATATTGATATCCTTATGAATGTTTTATGATAAGTAAATTGGCTGTAAATGTAATCAAGGCAGTGTCTTGCATCCATGCGTCAGTGGGTTTGACCTTGATGTCCATTGCTGTTAAGGTTTTTTCTTTTATATTGTTATCTTATTGTGATTAACCTTTTCACCAGGGCAAAACAATGTAT